AAAAAAAAAAAAAAAAAAAAAAAAGGAACAGACTAGTAAAGGCACAATATCAGGACTTAATAGGTGAGAAGAGCTTTTTCAAGAATCTTCAAACCATACCAAGCAGGCTTTTCCTTCCTTGGTTTAAGGTTTGAAAGCTGTTGAAAAGCAGTTTTTAAAGACAGCATTTTAGGAAAGAGTTGTAAAACACCCACACCTGAAAGACCAGAATTGATTTCTAACTCTGAAGCTTTTTTCTACATCTTTTTCTATACCCTTGGGTTTATACCTTAATAGCTTCCCATTTTTCTGATCTCTATTCCTCAAGAGGCCAACTTATGAAATTGAAATGCGTGTTTTTTAAATGTGGTAAACAGATTAAAAGAGTAAAACCTTAGGAACCCCATCAGGCCAGTTACCCTCAGTTGAATTTTGAAGTTGTTGTTAGTTTTTCTTAGAGACTTTTCATTCTTCTCCCAGATAGCTCATAAAAATTAGAGACTAAAGAGAGACTGTATGACAGGTACCACGGTTTTCCACAGTATTTATCTTAGAGCTTCATTTTAAATGTTAGGAGGGTCATAAAGTTCTATTAAACTGTGGTAAATCTATTTCTCCAAGACTGACATCATCCATAGACTTAATAAATATTTATTATGTCTCCTATAAAGTAGGCCAACTCCTGTATTAGTACCAGAAATACAAAATAAAACATGTAGTCCTTGTCTTCATGGACTTGTCTCACCATGATCTAATGGTGAGAAAGACAAATACATGATTACAATACAATAATTCTTAAAGCTAAAAGAAATGCTATTTATTATTTAAAGCAAGGTCCAACAAACTACAACCCACAGGCCAAATCTGGCCTGTCTTCTATTTTTATATAGCCCATAAACAAAGAATGTGTTTCACACTTTTAAATGGCTGGGGAAAACCCAAAATGACAAAATAGGATTTTGTTCAGATTTCAGGGTTCATAAATAGTTTTATTGGATCACAGCACACTCATTCAATGATGTATCATCTATGACCACTATGGTTCTACTGTGACAGAGTTGAGTATGGCCTGCAAAGCCTAAAATATTTATTGTCTTTACAGAAAACGTTTGTTGACCTCTGACTTAAAGGATTTATTTCAACAAATATTCAGTGTGTTATTCAGTATAAGGCATTACGGCTACTTGGAAACATATCGCTTAACTGAACATGGCTGAAGCCAAATGGTCCTCTGCCACTTCAGAATATCCCCCAAGAGAATAAAATAAGAGTTCTGTTCTGAATACATACCTGTTGTCCTTATTAGTGCAGTGGGCAGCCGTGAGGACCCATCTGTTTTTCACTAAGCTTCCCGCACATACATGAGCACGATATCTGCCATATTGAATCTGTAGGCTAACTAGCCATGGCCATGCACCAATTTGAGCTTCTGTGCCCCCTACAATCCGAGACCCCTTGAACATATTTGCAAGTGGTGCTGTTCCACAATCTAAAAATAAAAATGATATATTATTTGGACTGAACATATTATTATATGTATTACTTTATAATCTTAACACGTTAATATAATATTTGAAATTCCTATTTAAAAAACTCATAAAGCAAGCTGGATACCTAAGCCATGCCCATATTTTGAAAAAAGATCTTAGAGAGCTAAGACAAACGTGCCTTAATTGCTTACTTACAAATAGAAAGGCATTAAATCAGCACAATTCATCAATTTTAAAACTCTTCTCCTGAGAAGTATAACAATGAGGTAGGTTTCTCTGGCCAGGTATCACATTTTTCCCTGTGTGAAACGGCCACTAAAAGAGCCTGGGACTGGTCAACCAAGAGCTACAAGTTCTAATACTTGCCATTTAACTTGTTGGGTTAATTCTTCTTAACTGTAGTATGAAAAAGTCACCTAACAGCCCTTTCATCTTTGAATTCCAATGAATTATTAGTCTGTAAAATGGGAATGACAAAGCCCAGAATGTTTTGAGGCGCATATACAGACACAGAAGTGTATGACATTTTTACTATTAGTACTACTACTACAGTCATTAAAATCGGGCTGCTTGGATCCGTAAATTTTTAGTTAAAGGCAGTTGGAAAAACAGAAAAGGAGGGCCCCAAATTCAAATACTACTTAAGTGGGGAAAAGGCAAGGACGACTGTCCAAAGAGAAGAACGAACAGATACTGCCCTTTGCGTTCAACCCTTCCTCTTCCGGGGCCTGGGGCTCCTTCTGCGCCCTGGGCCTCCCACTCATGGCTTCAGGCCACCTCCGACCTCCGGCCTGTTCCTGCGAGGAGCCGTGCCCACTCCTTTCAGAGAGTGGGTAGTGTTCTGAGCATATGAGAGCGCCCCCCAGAAACAACAGCGCTGCGCTCAGGAGCCCCAGCCCCATGTCGGAACTCCTGGTGGGCAAGATGGCGGCAAGCATTTCCTGCCCGCTCCCCCTGCCCCCTCCCCCCACCCCGCGAGCCTGTAGGCCCTCGGCCTGAGCAGCCTGGCAGAGGAGGTGGGCGAGGTGGGAGACGCGGGAGCTGTGCGTTTGGCTAGGTGCAGGGGGCGGGGTGGGGGGCGACGTCACGCAAGCGAAGTAAGCGAGGGGTTTTGATGGGGGCTGAGGCCTGTGAGGCTGCGGAAGTGCCCGGATGAGTCAAGGCCTCAGCTGGTGTTCTAGTTACGCGACCAATGAAATGGCTCGCCCTCAGCCAGGATCTGGGGATTCGCTAACTGGCGAGACCTTCCTGAGCCAGATCTACACACTTAGATGGTACAGTAGGACTGTTGTGGTGAGAGGGGAGCTGCTGGAACCTCTGGAGCGGCTCAGACTTCAAGGCCAGGAAGGCTTCCTGAAGTAAGAGCACCTAAACTGAAGTGGGTAAGCTGGGGATGGGAGACGTAAAGCAGAAGGCAAAGCAAGTGTAGAGGTTGGGATTTGAGACAATGTGGGCGTTGGGGGAGCCCAATTTCTGTAATGCACATTGATCTCATCATTAATTGTTCTGTAGTAGTTTACCTTCGACTGGTCACCTCAGGGTGAGCTGATTAAATCAAATGTAAGGACCTGCAGGGACATCCCTGGTGGTCCAGTGGTTAAGACTCCATGCTTCCACTACAGGGGGTGCGGGTTCATGCCTCCAAGCGCACCCCCCCACCCCAGAATTTAAGAACCTGCCTGGAAGTTGAGGACAAAGCCTGACTAAAGGTCACTGCACCCACCCCCACCCCAAACACACACACACACACACACACACACACACACACACCAGTCCCCAGCCTGAGAGGTACATTATTCCTTGCACCATCAGAACCCCCAAGATGCCCCTTGATATTACAAACACTGTGGGAAAAGAGCACAGATAAGTGGCTCCAGTTAATCGATCCACTGAACAAGTAGGTATTAACCTCATGCTACGTACCATACACCAAAATAAGTATCATATCATGGGAGGTGTGTTAAGACCTGGCCCTCTGACCCAGAGAACTTTATAACTTGGCTAGAAGAGAAAATCAGGGGTAATTCACTTGGAGAACAAAGAAGGAAACCATGACACCCAAGCCTAACGTGAATTCAGACACAAGGGATTGGTGTGGGCTGTGGCAGTCTGGGAAGGCTCCCTGCAGGAGGGGAATGTGAGCTGGACCTAGGTAGAGGGGGAAGATCAAGAAGAGGAAGGAGATGTAGTGAAGACAGACTAAGCAAAGGTATGGATATGTATTTGTGTTTCTCCAGAGAAACAGAACCAATAGGATATATAGAGATATATAAGAGGAGATTATTTATGGGAATTGGCTCTCACAATTATGGAGGCTGAGAAGTCTCATGATATGCCATCTGGAAGCTGGAAAACCAGTGGTATAATTCAGTCCCAAACGAAAGCCCGGAGAACCAGGAGCTCTGATGTGGGAGGGCAGGAAAGATGGATGTCCCAACTCAAGAAGAAAGGAGAAATTGCCCTTTGTGCACCTTTTTGTTCTGTTTGTGCCCTCAGTGGATTGGAGTGAATGATACCCATCCAACACTGGTGACGGCAGATCTTCTTTACTCAGTCTACTAGTTCAAATGGTAATCTCCTTCAGAAACACCCTCACAGACACACCCAGAAATAATATTTTACCAGTGATCTGGGCGTCCCTTACCCCTATCAAGCTGACACATAAAATTAACCACCATAGTAATAAGAATACAATGTGTGTGTATAATTTTAGTTGGTTTTTTTTTTTTTTTTTTTTTTTACTGTTTTCTGTTATCTTTCAGAGACTGAAGAGAGAAACCATGCCTTAAAATTTTTGATCAGGATATATAAGAGAAAAAACTAAGTTAAAGGCTTCTTCCTGGTTTTGTATTTGATTTGATTCTTTTTGGAGTCCAGGATTGTGTATGACCCTTCTTCCCTTTAGCAGAACCATTTACTATGGTTTTGGATATGCAGTAGTAGGTTTGGACCCTGCTTTGTACTTAGGGGTATAAGTATGCACAGCATAATGAAGAGAAATTTTTCAGTGTGCAAAGGAGGAGAGAGAGGAAAGAGGCAGGCCACCCAACAACATGGAAGAAGGCCAGGCCCAAGCCAAAATGGTATCTGTGAGAGTTTCACTGTGGTGGGTTGACCCATGGTTTTTAAGAACAATGATGTGTAATGTTTGGTTTTAAATTGTTTTATCATTGCTATGTTGAGCTGTGCTAAAGGTTTCCTCAGTTAACCTGACTCCTTCAGTAACAAGGGCACAGTGTGGGCTTGTGGTAGTCTAGGAGGCTGGTCACATGGTGGGGAATGAAAGTAGGGGTCAGCAAAAGGACAGCGCTGTTCTCATATCATCCTCCTAGTTTGTCATGGTTGGCTGCATTAGATCAAAGGAGCCTATTAGTTGAGCCTTACAGGTGGTAACAAGTGGAAAGAGAACAGAAGCTCCTGGGCTGAGCTGAAATCAGTGGGAGGGAAGCAGGTGGTATTGGATAAACAAGTTGCAGCATGAACTGACCTAACCCAGGGGCAGAACAGGAAACAAATTGACTGTTCCCCAAATAGTTGAGTGAAAGATGATACTTGAAAGGGGGGAGACACAGTTGGGGTGTGTTTCTGTGGGGGAGGGATGTGATCAGATTGGGTATGGCATTGTAAGCAGGGCAAGATGACTGGTCTTGCTGTGGCAGATAACAGACATTCAACAGATTTCTTTTCCATATCCTGATCAAAAACAGGTGCATGCAGCCAAGTCATGAAAGAGCAATGAAAAATGCAGTGGACCAGTACATGCAAAGGTCCTAGGCCTGGATTTCCTCTGCCTTCTCTAGGTCTTCACTCTTCTCTCCTGCATTGCTACTTCCTTGCTTTGTGGGATCACTCCAGTCCGCAGACAGATATTCTCTGGTGTGGTAGGCAGCCACCAAGATGGCCTTTAATTAGCCTTGTCTTCTGGTATTCATACCCTTTGTTAGCCCCCTCCCCTAAGTTGGCAACTCTAAGTTGGCTAGATTTAGTGACATGCTTGTAGCAAACAGATGGTGGCAGAGGGGATGGGCTATCCCTTCCAAGACTAGATTATAAAAAGATTGTGACTTGCCTTGAACATTTTCTCTAACTCTCTTGCTCTGAGGGAAGTCGGCTGCCATATTATGAGCTGCCTATGGCCCTATGGAGTAGCTTACAGTCATAGTCAATCTAACGGCCTACGGAGAAGCAAACCACACCACATGAGTGAGCTAGGAAGCAGGTCTTTCCCAGGTCAAACCTTCAGATGAGACCACAGTTCTGGCTAAGATCCTAAATGCAACCTCATGAGAGGCCTGAAGCCAGAGACATCCCCCAAGCCACACTCAAAATTCTTGACCCACAGAAATTGTGAGATAACAAAATTTTGTTGTTTTAAGCTGCTAAGTTTTGGAATAATTTGTTACATAGCAGTAGATAATGTATCTTGTTTCTCCGATCTTTGAAGGAGGATGAGGGCATTAGTGCTGAGCCTGGGGCCTGGGGTAGGGTGTGGGGGGGATGTAGGATGGTAGGGTTGATTGGGTCTGGAGTTAGGGGAGATTTTATTCTTCTTGGTTGTCCCTTGCTCCACTTGAGTTAGTGCTAGAAATCTTTTTAATAAAAATATTTTATTATATATACTTTACATAATAACAACAAAATAAACTTCTGTGTACCCACCACCTCATTCACTATTTTTGTTTTGTTAAATATTTAATCCTGTTGAAGGAATGTTTATAGTACAGTTTATGTACAGTTTAAAGAATAAAAACAATATAAGGATACCTATTTAAGAAAAAGAACATCATTGTTACTTTGGAAATCCCCCGTGTACCTGTCCCTGTCCCTTTCCCTTTCCCTTAGGAAAAACCAATATTCTGAATTTTGTACTTAGTTTTCCATTGATTCTCTTTATAAACCTGACTGTACAGTATGGTGGTCACTAGTGACAGGTGACAATTTAAGTTTAAATTTAAATTAAATTAAAATTTAGTTCCTCAGTCATGTTAGCCCTGTAGCTAGTGGTTACCATATTGGACAGCATGTTTAGTTTTGCATGTTTTTAAACTTTATATCAGTTGAATCATGCAGTTCATTTTCTTTTGCATCTAGTTTTGTTTCATTCAGTATTGCGTGCTCAGCATTCATTCATGTGGTTATTTATAACTGTAATTCATTTATTTTTACCATATGCATGGTGTGAATATGCCATGATGTATTTATCCACATTGGAATCTATTACTGATGAACATTTGAACTGTTTCCAGAGTTTTGCTCTTACAACTGCTACCATTATGGATGTGAGCATGAGTTTCTCTGGACTATATACCAGGTTAGGACTGCTGACTCTTACAGAATATACACCATCACCTTCTCTAAATAATGCCAAATAGTTTTCTGAAATGTTATAACAACATACTGTCCAACTAGCAGCACGTAAACGCTCCCATTATTTATATTATCATCTATGCTTTTTAATTTTTTACGAATCTTGTTGGTATGAATTGAGAACTCATGGTTTCAATCTGCCTTTTCCTGACTTTAAATGAGTTTGAGTATTTGAATATCTTTTCATATATTACCTACTTAGGTCTTTTATGTGTTTATCTTTGTCTTATGCATTTCATTAATGCAGCCACTCATCTTTTACTGTTTCCATAGTTTTGCCTTTTTCAGAATACCGTATAATACATACCTACAGTATGTAGCCTTTTCAGATTGGTTTCTTTTACTTAGTAATATGCATTTAACATTCCTCCATGTCTTTTCTTGTTTTAATATTTATTTTATTTATTTACTTTATTTATTTATTTTTTTGGCTGTGTTGGGTCTTAGTTGCGGCATGCGGGGTCTTCGTTGTGGCGCTCGGGCTTCTCTCTAGTTGCGGCGTGGGTATTTTTCTCTCTCTAGTTATGGCGTGCGGGTTCCAGAGTGCCTGGGCTCTGTAGTTTGCAGCACGTGGGCTCTCTTGTTGAGGCACGTGAGCTCAGTAGTTGTGGTGTGCGGGCTTAGTTGCCCCGCAGCATGTGGGATCTTATTTTTTTTATTATTATTATTTTTTTTTGTGGTACGTGGGTGTCTCACTGTTGTGGCCTCTCCCGTTGTGGAGCACAGGCTCCGGACGCGCAGGCTCAGCGGCCATGGCTCACGGGCCCAGCCGCTCCGCGGCATGTGGGATCTTCCTGGGTCGGGACACGAATTCGTGTCCCCAGCATCGGCAGGCGGACTCTCAACCACTGCGCCACCAGGGAAGCCCAGCATGTGGGATCTTAGTTCCCCGACCAGGGATCGAACCCTGCATTGGAAGGAGCATTCTTTACCACTGGACCACCAGGGAAGTCCCCCTCCATGTCTTTTCATGGCTTAAGAGCTCATTTCTTTTTTGTGATCAATAATATTCCATTATCTGGATATACCACAGTTCATCCATTCACCTATTGAAGCACATCTTGGTTGCTTCCAAGTTTTGGCAGTTATGAATACATTTGCTGTAACATCTGTGTGCAGGTTTTTGGGTAAACATAAGTTTTCAGCTCCTTTGGTAAATACCAAACAGTGCAATTGCTGGATCATATGATAAGAGTATGTGTAGGGCTTCCCTGGTGGCGCAGTGGTTGAGAGTCCACCTGCCGATGCAGGGGACACGGGTTCGTGCCCCGGTCTGGGAAGATCCCACATGCCGCGGAGCGGCTGGGCCCGTGAGCCATGGCCGCTGAGCCTGCGCATCCGGAGCCTGTGCTCCACAACGGGAGAGCCCACGACAGTGAGAGGCCCGCGTACTGCAAAAAAAAAAAAAGAGTATGTTTAGTTTTGTAAGAAATTGCCAAACTGTCTTCCAAAGTGTCTGCACCACTTTTGCATTCCCAGTAGCAATGACTGAGAGTTCCTGTTCATGAGCATTTGGTGTTACAAATGTTTTGGGTTTTGGCTATTCTAATGGGTGTATTAGTGGTATCTCATTGTTTTAATTTGCATCTCCCTGATGACACGATGTGGATCATCTTTTCATATGTTTATTTGCCATCTATATATCTTATTGATGAGATGTCTATTAAGGTCTTTGGTCCATCTTTTTTTCTTTTATCAGTACGCGGGCCTCTCACCGTTGCGGCCTCCCCCATCACGGAGCACAGGCTCCGGATGCGCAGGCTAAGTGGCCATGGCTCACAGGCCCAGCCGCTCCACGGCATGTGGGATCCTCCCAGACCGGGGCACGAACCTGTATCCCCTGCATTGGCAGGCGGACCCCCAACCACTGCGCCACCAGGGAAGCCCTGGCCCATCTTTTAATCAGGTTCTTATTGTTGAGTTTTAAGAGCTCTTTGTATTTTTTGGATAACAGTCCTCTATTAGATATGTCTTTTGCAAATATTTTCTCCCAGTCTGTGGCTTGCCTTTTTCTTTGTCTTTCACAGAGCAGAAACTTTTAGTTTTAATGAAGTCCAATTTATCAATTCTTTTTTTTATGGATCATACTTTTGGAGTCATTGACAAACCCAAGGTCATTTAGATTTTCTCCTATGTTATCTTCTAAGAGTTTTATACTTTTGTGTTTTACATTTAGGTCTGTGGTCCATTTTGAGTTAATTTTTGTGGAGGATATAAAGTCTGTGTCTAGATTCTTTTTTTTTTTTTTTTTTAATGTGGATGTCCAGTTGTTCCAGCACCACTTATTTAAAATACTGTCTTTGCTCCATTGTATTGCCTTTGCTCCTTTGTTGAAGATCAGTTGACTGTATCCCTGTGGGTCTACTTCTGGGCGCTCTGTACTGTTCCATTGATCTATTTGTCTGTTCTTTTGCGAATATCACCCTGTCTTGATTACTGTAGCTCTGTGTTATGTCTTTTTTCTTAACTGTTTTTTTTCTTTTTGGCCACTCGGCATGTGGGATCATAGTTCCCTGACCAGGGGTCGAACCTGTGGCCCCTGCAGTGGAAGTGTGGTGTCTTAACCACTGGACCACCAGGGAAGTCCCACTATGGTATGTCTTGAAGTCAGGTACTGTCAGCTCTCCAGCTTTGTTCTTCTCCTTCAATATTGTGTTGTCTATTCTGAGTCTTTTTTCACTGTGTATAACCTTTAGAAGCAGTTTGTTGATGTCCACAAAATAACTTGCTGGGATTTTGATTGGGCTTGTATTGAATCTGTAGAGCAAGTTGGAAGAACTGCCATCCTGACAGTGTTGTCTTTCTATCCATTAACATGGAATACCTGTCCATTTAGTTAGTTCTTGTTTGATTTCTTTTATCAGTTTTGTAATTTTCCTCATATAGATCTTGTACATATTTTGTTAGATTTACACCTAAGTATTTCATTTTGGGGGGTGCTAATGTAAATGGTATTGTATTTTTAATTTCAAATTCCAGTTGTTCATTGCTGGTATATTCAAAAGAAATTGACTTTTCTATATTAACCTTGTATCCTGCAACCCTGCTGTAATCACTTATTAGTTCCAGGAGCTTCTTTGTCAAATCTTTTGGATTTTCTAATAGATTAACATATCATCTGTGAACAAAGACGATTTTATTTCTTCCTTCCCAATCTGTATACCTTTAATTTCCTTTTCTTATCTTATTGCATTAGGACTTGACAGTATGATGTTGAAAAGCAGTGGTGGGAATTCCCTGGCAGTCCATGGTTAGGACTTGGCGTTCATTGCCAGGGCCTGGGTTCAATCCCTGGTCGGGGAACTAAGATCCCA